TCCCAGCACAAGCCCTGTGTGGAAACGAGGCACCTGACCAAGCCTGGCACAGAGCTAAGTAGGTGAGGTCTTTCTCCCTCTGTCTACATTTGGGGGTGAGGTATGGCCCCTAGGGGTAGCAGATGTGTTCTGAGGGAGGAATGACAGGTCCCACAGTGGAATAACAGCCCCTGGAGGTAGCAGATGGGTTATGAGGGTGAAATGACAGTCCCTGGGGATAGCAGGAGTGTTCTGGGACTGGAATGACAGGCCCCACAGTGGAATGACAGCCCCTGGGGGTAGCAGGAGTATTCTGAGGGTGGAATGATAGGCCTCAGAGTGGAAGGACAGCCCCTGGGGGGTAGCAGGAGTGTTCTGAGGGTGGAATGACAGACCTTGGGAGTAGCAGGAGTGTCCTGGAATGGAATGACAGATAGGCCCCAGTCCCAGAACAATCCTGCTACCCCCAGGGGCTGTCATTCCACTGTGGGGCCTGTCATTCCAGTCCCAGAACACTCCTGCTCCCACCAGGAGCTGTCATTCCTCTGTGGGGCCTGTTATTCCACCCTCAGAATACTCCTGCTACCCCCAAGGGCTGTCATTCCACTGTGGGGCCTGTCATTCCAGTCCCAGAGCACATCTGCTACTCCCAGGGACTGTCAGTTTGGTATAGTGGTTAAGTGCGCGGACTCTAATCCGGGATAACTGGGTTTGATTCCCCACTTCTCCACTTGCACCTGGCTGGATGACCTTGGGCGAGCCATAGTTCTGATAATGAGCTGTTCTTAAAAAAGAGCAGTTTCTGTCAAGAGCTCTCTCAGCCCCACGTACCTCACAGGGTGTCTGTTGTGGGGAGGGGAGGGAAAGGGAAAGGAGTTTGTAAGCCGCTCTGAGACACCTTTGGGTAGTGAAGGGCGGGGTATAAATCCAATCTCCTGCTCCTCCTCATTCCACTCCGGGGCCTGTCATTCCAGTCCTAGAATGCATCTGCTACCCACAAGGGCTGTCATTCCACTCTGGTGTCTCTCATTCCAGTCCCAAGACTCCTGCTACCCCCAGGGGCTGTCATTCCACTTTGGAGCCTGTCATTCCACTCCCAAAACACTGCTGCTTCCACCAGGGGCTGTCATTCCAATGTGGGGCCTGTCATTCCACCATTAGAACACATCTGCTACCCCCAGGGGCTGTCATTTCACTCTGGGACCTGTGATTCCAATCTCTGAAAACTCCTGGTACTCCCAGGGGCTGTCATTCCACTCTGGGGCCTGTCATTCCATTCCCAGGACACTCCTGCTACCCACAGGGGCTGTCATTCCAGTCCCATAAGACTCCTGGTACTACCAGGGGCTGTCATTCCACTCTGGGGCCTGTCATTCCAGTCCCAGAACACATCTGCTACCCCCAGGGGCTGTCATTTCACTCTGGGACCTGTGATTCCAATCTCTGAAAACTCCTGGTACTCCCAGGGGCTGTCATTCCACTCTGGAGCCTGTCATTCCAGTCCCAGTACACTGCTGTTACACCCAGGGGCTGTCATTCCACTGTGGGGCCTGTCATTCCAGTCCCAGGACACATCTACTACCCCCTTGGGCTGTCATTCCACTGTGAGCCTGTCATTCCACCCTCACCCCCAGGGGATGTCATTCCACTCTGGGGCCTGTCTTTCCAGTCCCAGAGCAGTTTATTTGGGACCAGAGACCTTAATGAAAAATCCATCCCTCATTTTCTTTGCAACTCTTCTTGAGCTGTAATATATTTCAATAGAGCCCATGCAAGTCAATTGGCATTCCTGGTTCCCATTATTTCCAAAGAGCCTTCAAGTGTCTCCCATTGTTTTCAATGGGCAATCCTGTCCTTTCTTTTAGTACATCCCGTGAATTTCCAACGGGCCTTCAAGTCTCTCCCATTGTTTCCAATGGGCAATCCTGTCCTTCCTTTTAGTACGTCCCAAGAAATGGCTGCTTTGGAGGATGGGCGCTACAGCACTGCACCCCACTGAGGGCACCCCACTGAGGTGCCCTCCAGGCTCCACCCCAAAAATCTGCAGGAATCTCCCAAACTGGAGCTGGCAACCCTCAATCCAGTGCACATTTTCTTGACCACCTTTGTATGCTATTACACGGGTCTGGGCACAGAATGCACCACCGAAGTCATATGTCCACAGCTCCGTGGCGACACCATTCTACAAAAACATGGTTCCAAAGCACGGATCCTCGTGGATCCTCAGGGTTTTTCAACTGGGTCACCCCAAACACACCATCAAATCACATAGCACATCCATGGCCACAACTTGCACCACAAAAATCACAGATCCTCAGCTTCGTGGTGAATCCATTCTGCAAAAACATGATTCTAAAGCACGGATCCTTATGGATCATTAGGATTTTCGTGTTTGGACATCCCAAACATACCATTAAATCCCATATCATGTCCATGGCCACAGCCTGCACCACAGAAATCACGGTGCCATGGCTCTGTGGCAACACCATGCTACAAAAACATGGTTCTACAGCCACAACCTGCACCACAAAAATCACAGATCCACAGCTTCGTGGTGAATCTATTCTGCATAAACATGATTCTGAAGCACGGATCCTTATGGATCCTTGGGGTTTTCATGTTGGGACATCCCAAACATACCATTAAATCCCATATCATGTCCATGGCCACAGCCTGCACCACAGAAATCATGGTGCCACGGCTCTGTGGCAACACCATGCTGCAAAAACATAGTTCTGGAGTATAGTTCATGGATGCTTAAGGTTTTTGTGTTGGGTCACCCCAAACACAACATCAAATCACATAACATATCCATGGTCACAGCTTGAACCCGAAAAGTCATTGTGTCACCCCAACATCACCATCAAATAAGATGCCTTGTCCATGGCCACAGAATGCACTACAGAAGTCATATGTCCACAGCTCCGTGGCAACACCATTCTACAAAAACATGGTTCCAAAGCAGGATCCTCATGGATACTCAGGGTTTTTCAATTGGGTCACCCCAAACACACCATCAAATCACATAGCACATCCACGGCCACAACTTGCACCACAAAAATCACAGATCTGCAGTTTCGTGGTGAATCCATTCTGCAAAAACATGGTTCTAAAGCATGGATCCTTATGGATCATTGGGATTTTTGTATTGGGACATCCCAAACATACCATTAAATCCCATATCATGTCCACGGCCACAGCCTGCACCACAAAATTTATGTTGCCACGACTTCATGGCAATTCCATGCTGCAAAAACATGATTCCAAAGCACGGATCCTCATGGATCCTTAAGGTTTTTGCGTTGGGTCACCCCAACATCACCATTAAATCACATACCTTCTCCATGGCCACAGAATGCACCACAGAAATCACATGTCCACGGCTTCATGGTGACACCATGAAGCCAAAACATGGTTCTGGAGCATGGATCCTCACAAATGCTTTGGGATTTTGTGTTGGGACACCCCAAACATAACATTAAATCCCACACCATGGCCATGGCCACTACTTACACCACAGTATTAAGGGGTCCCGGGCTTCATGGCAACACCATGCTGCAAAAACATGGTTCCGAAGCATGGATCCTCAGTGTTTCTGTGTTGCGTCACCATGTACTCACCATCAAATCGCATATCACGTCCATGGACACAGTTTGCACCACAAAAGTCATGGATCCATGGCTTCGTGGCAACACCGTGAAGACAAAACATGGTTCTGGAACATGGATCCTCATCGATAGTTGAGGGTTTTGTGTTGGAACACTCAAACATACCATTAAATCCCATATCATGTCCATAGCTACTACTTGCTCTACAGAATTCATGGATCCACGGCTTCCTGGCATGCTGCACAAACATCGTTCTGAAGCACGGATCCCCATGGATCCTCAAGGCTTTTGCGTTGGGTCACAATGAACACAACAACAAATCCCATCTCATGTCCATGGGCACAGGTTGCACCACAAAAGACATTGATCCATGGCTTCCTGGCAACACCATAAAGCCAGAACATGGTTCTGAAGTGGTAACGACGGGGGGAGGGGCACGAAACGTTCCCCCACCTCTCTGAGCCCCTTCGAGTCCTAGGGGCAAATTCCACCTCTTGCGTGTGATGGAGCGGCGTTGCAGAATGGTGTCACCACGAAGCCGTGGATCTGTGGATCACGCTAGAGGTCATTCTCCGTGGATCAAGCAAGAGATCACTCTGGCTCCCCCAGGTCTTGTTAGGGGCTCTTAAAAAAGTTATGGGTGCCGCCGCTGGCGGCAGCGCTAATGGCAGCGGCTACAGCGGGGCACTAAATGTTCCCCCGCCTCTCTGAGCCCTGGGGTGGTGGTCTTGGAGTCCTAGGGGCATATTCCACCTCTCCCGTGTGATGGCCGAGCAGCGTTGCAGAATGGTTGTCACCACGAAGCCCCACGAAGCCGTGGATCTGTGATTTTTGTAGTGCAAGCTGTGGATGTGGACGTCTTATGTGATTTGATGGTGTGTTTGGAGTGACCCAATTGAAAAACCCTGAGGATCCGTGCTTTGGAATCATATGTTTGCGCTGTTGGGGTGCCACGAAATCTGTGGATGCATGATTTTTGTGGTGCCCCCTATAGATTAACACATAGCCCACAATATGATGGTAGTTTTATTTCGTTTCAATGTAAAAATCATATGAATTCATGAGGACCCATGTAGATCCGACTTTTACCTTTTTCCGTATTACACAAGTGAACGGAGCCCATGCAACTCAATCTGACATCCCTTCCACCCATTAGTTCCCTTATCTTCTCAGCCACACAGAGCCCGGCTCCGGCAGCTCCGGGATGATTAAAAAAGCGACAGACTCCGCCCCAATGACGTCCCTGGGCTACGGCCGCCGAGAGAGGGCGGGCTGAGGCGGGGCTTTCTCGAGGCCGGGCCGGAAGAAAAAAAAGGAAGCGGCCGGCCCCACCAAGCAACGTCCTCAACCGTTTGGTCCTTTTCGGCCGCCGTAACCCGGCCGCGTTCTTGGGCGGGGCCTCCTCCCCGTGGGGGAGGGAGGAAAACAAGATGGCCGAAGCTTCTCCCCAGCCCGGGCGTTACTTCTGTCACTGCTGCTCGGTCGAGATCGCCCCGCGGCTGCCGGTGAGGAGGAGGGCGGGCGGGGGGAGGAAGCGAGGGACGACGAGGGGTGGAGGGAGCCGGCGGGGCGGGGGCCGTGGGGGGGAGGAAGGAGGGGGTCAGTGACTGGGGGGTTAGTCCTGTATTCGCCACTGTTCTTATGGGGGGGCGTGATTCGGAAGAGGGCTCGTAGGAAAAAAGGACGCGTGGAGCAGCAGCGTGGTCTGAGCTCAAGTCTCATCCCCTTGCCTTTTTTTAAAAAAAAATATCTTGATATTGCTCTCAGATTCTTCGGGTACAATTCAGTGTTTGTCTTCCACTCTCAAAAGGGTGGGCTAAGGGAGAGTGAGCAGGCCAGGGCTGAGTGGGTGGCTGAATCTGGGTCTTCCGCAGCGGTGACAGAGTTGCCAGTTGCTGGAGGACACAGGTGGACTGGAGGCCCAGTCCAAGTGTGGGCTGGTTGGAAGCAAACCAGAGCGGTGGATTATGCAGGGATGCAATGGGCAGCCTCATCTGTATATGGGAATGGAAATGTAAGTCCTTTTTCTTTTTAAGTTCTCATCTCTACAGTGTTTAGCTGTGGTGTTTCACCTTACCCTAAAACTACTCACCTTGACTGCTTCTCTTCTCCAAAGCATCCTCAAGGGTGGAAGCTGTGTGTTCCATTAGAATAACAACAACAACAGTAATAAATAATAATAATATTGCAAATTTAGTAGTTAAGAGGCAGAGAGCCCAGTATGATCAACAGGCAGGTGGGTTGAGAGGGTGGATGCTAAGGATCTGCCTAAGGTGCTCAACTGTTCCATGTACTTACATGCTCAACCAAGGAGTATGATCATACATGGTAACAGGCCAACTCAGGTAAATCTACCAGTGTAGATTCTTATGGGGATCACTGTAAGTACAAAATGAGAACTTGAAGACACATAAGTCTAATAGGTAAGAGAGCCTTAATTTACACATTTTGTCATATTCATAACATGTAGTATATTATTAAGAAATTAAGTATTTGGAATGTATTCTGGAAAACCATGGCTTTTATAAATGAGCAAAGAACTCAAAAGCGATGCGAAAAGATCACTCAAGAAAATGAACTAAGCTGCAGGACAATCACAGAATCTGTGTCAGACTCTTCAGATACCATTCAGAACAGTAGATTGTTAAGCCAAATAAAAGAGCAAGTGAATCTATAGCACACAACTTGCAGTCTAAGCAAACAGGCATTATTTATATATTTAATCACTGCTCTCCCCCCCCCCACACACACACACCCTTGATAGACTTGTTCTGTTACCTGCTTCTGGTGGATGGCTGCTTCTTTCATTCTGGCAGCTGACCTTGGCACTTCATATTGGCAGAGTGGGTACACTGCTTGTGCTCTCAGTCACCCCATCCAGGAACATGGGGAGGGAAGCAATACAGGGGAAGACAAAGTAGAGGGATAGGTAGTGGAGGAAGAGGTCAGTAAAGGAATGAGGAGAGCAGAGAGAAAAAAGTAAGAAAATATGAAAAGAAATCCAGCCAGGTGTCAACTCTAGTGACAAGGAAGTAAGAATAAACAGAGACGTGTTAGCCAGCCTTGCAGATGAGTTGTCAATAGTGACTAGCCTGCAGCCATTTCTGCTAGCCCATCCACCCAATGCACACATTACCATGGTCAGCTCTTTGAAGCTCCCAAGAAAAAGAGCAAACTTGTGTGAAGTTTTCTTGCCTGGAAGTGTCTGTTCATAAGTCTAAGATGAAAGGGGATAAAAGGAATACAATACTTAGTATGTGAATAGCACTTTCAAGTTTTTTATGTATATAAATATTCCCATCTAGGTCTTAAAGCCAATAGGCTGTTTGATCAGAAAAAGACAGCAATATAACAAAAAAGTTATTGCTGTTCACTATTCATTTCAAGTGTTAAAAGTGTTTTATAAGCAACATGCGGAGAGGCTGAGAGAGGGTGGCTTAACTTCAGTGATCTCATGAGCTCGTGATGGATACAAGGTTCAGACCAAAGACTTTCTGTTTCATAACTCACTCTCTTAGCTTAGAATGCGATACCCCCTCTCAAAGTGAAAGTGATACAAATGGTAGGGTTGCTAAGGTTGAGGCTGAAAGGAGGCTGGCTAAAAACTGTTTAAGGCAATTAGCTTTGTAAGAAAATGCATCCAGAATTGTTTAGGTTCTTTTTTGTTTGTCTTGGGAGCTTTGTGAACCCTGTGTTCTAAAGGCAGCAAGATAGAACTCAGCCAGTCTTTTCAAAGGTGACAGAGATGGGCAGTTCCCTTTTCTAAGGTTTAAATTATTATAACACACCCATTCCTTCTGACTAGCCTAGCATCACCTTGTCAAACTGGGACAACTTGGTGGAGGTAGAAATATGTGTGTTTTCATGCTGAACTGTACCTGCAGGATTTCTTCTCAGTAGATGTCCCCACCCTGATCTGGATAGCCCAGGCTAGCCCTATCTCTTCAGGTCTTGGAAGCCCTGGTCAGTACTTGGATAGGAGACCACCAAGGAAGTCCAGGGTTGCTACGCAGAGGCAGGCAATGGCAAACCACCTCTGAATGCCTCTTGCATTGAAAACCCCAATGGGGTCACCATACGTTGGCTGCAATGACAGCAAAAAAAGATATTCCTACTCTGCCTTGAATCTAATGGCTAGAACAAGCACCTGTTGAAAGTTGCCTCTGGTAGCTTGCTGCGGGTGTAATCCGTATTCTTCAGTACACACTCAGCCTTTAGTTTATGTCCTCTTAAACGTGACCCACAAGTAATGAATGTTAATTTTGAAAAAGCATTTAACGTTTTTTGCCCTGCCTTTCCTCCGAGGAGTGCAGAATGGCAATTTAGTATCCCAGTACCCCTGTGAAGTAGTCTAGCTGCAGAGATGTGTCCAAGGCTGTACAATAGCCTTTATAAGTAAGCCCAGGTTTTGATCCTGAATTTCCTTCATGGGAGTCCTGGCACTTTAGCCACACCAGAGAGTTTAACAGCCCTGTTAAGTAGGTTCCATTGTAACAGGAGGATAACTGAGACAGAATGGGTTGCTCAAGCCATGCAGTCTGTGACAGCTTGGTGTAAATCAGCAGTCCCCAACATGGTATCCGTGGGCGCCATAACACTCACCGCACCTTTCCTGGTTGGGGACCAGGTGGTTGGGACCAGGTGGGGCTTCTTCCTACCAGGATTTCTGATTGTCCATTGGAAATCTGATGCACTGTGCAGATTAAAATAAGTTTGTTTTGGTGGCAGTGCTGGTTTTATTTTCTTGCTCCTCTTTCCCAGTGTATTTTAAAAACTATATAATAAAATTATATATAACTATATAAACTATAAACATTTAAAACTATAAAAGAAGAAGAGATTGGATTTATACCCTGCCCTTCACTACCCAAAGGTGTCTCAGAGCGGCTTACAAACTCCTTTCCCTTCTCCTCCCCACAACAGACACCCTGTAAGGTAGGGGGGGGGCTGAGAGAGCTCTGACAGAAACTGCTCTTTTTCAAGGACAGCTGTGCCAGAACTATGGCCTGCCCAAGGTTATTCAGCAGGTGCAAGTGGAGGACTGGGGAATCAAACCCAGTTCTCCCAGATTAGAGTCCGCGCACTTAACCACTACACCAAACTAGCTTCTTTTGTATGTTAGTGTGTATGTGTTTCTGTCTCCAGCAGTGGCCGTTTTGTGGTTGCGCCCAACACTCTATGTCAGAATTCCAAAAGTGCCCATGGGTTCAAAAAGGTCTTGGACCCCTGGTCTAACTGTTCAGGTCTCCTGGACAGTGTCTTGCTAGGCTGAACTGACATGTCCCAATAAAAGGACACAGGTGAACTAAATCCAAGGCGCCCTTTGCAGCAGCGGCAGACTAGTAGGAATCCTGATTTTGCTAGGAATGTTCTTGCCTCAGAGCTGGGCTGACTCATCAGCTGGTCAACAGGAAAGGGAAGAGGGCAAATGGGAGTGCCTATTGATGGGTAAGCTCTGATGGCAGAATGCAAAGGCAACTTGGGGAGCAGCAGTCCGCTGGGAGATGAGGGGGTATTAGCCCCCTGCAACTCTGAGATGTTTTAGGAAGTTTTTTGAGAGGCCTGCTCTGTTTATCTACCAAAGATTGGGAGTCACCAGGAGTTCTCACAGGTGACCGTTATTAATCTTAGATTCATCTGTGTAGCTGTGTTGGTCTGAAGCAACAGAACAAAGTTTGACTCCTGTGCCACTGTTAAGACCAACAAAGTTTAATGCTGGGCATATACTCTTCAGGTGCAGTGACTCACGAAAGCTCATCCCCTGCCACAAATGTTGGTAGTCTTTAAGGTGCTACTGGACACCTTTTCTACTGCTACAGACAAACACGGCTACCCATCTTGATCTATATTGGCTGTCCTCCTTTCACTATGGTCAGGGACAGAGTGTAGCGCTTGGAGAAAGGGTTTCGCCACCTTACCCTTTGGTATGTGGCATCCCTCAAGGGGCGATCCTCTCTCCAGTGTTATTTAATGTCTATATGCGCCCCCTCACACAGTTAATCTGGGTGTTTGGGCTGGGTTGCCATCAGTATTTGGATGACACCCAGCTGTATCTGTTAATGGATGGCCGGCCGGAATCTGCTCTGGATAATCTGGTCAGGGTGTTGGAGGCTGTGGCTGAATGGTTACAACAGAGCTGGCTGAAACTTAATCCATCTAAGATAGAGGTCCTGTTCCTGAGTCGTGGGGGGATGGGTTCGGGAATCGGACTCCGTACCCTTGGTCGGGCAACATTGATGCCAGCGCCAATGGTGAGGGGTTTGGGAGTGACTTTGGATGCCTCCCTTTCCATGGAGGCCCAGGTCACTAATGTTGCCAGATCAGCCTTTTACCATCTTCGGCTGGTCAGGCAACTGGTCCCCAACCTCTCCTCTCATGACTTGGTGACAGTGATCCATGCAGTGGTCACTTCCAGGCTTGATTACTGCAACTCACTCTACATGGGCCTACCTTTAAACTAAACCCGGAAGCTTCAGCTGGTACAGAACAGAGTGGCATGCCTGCT